AAAAGGTGCTTTTCTTGATACCATGTAAACTGCAAAGAGTTTTTACTTCATTTCTGCCTCGAATTGCATAAAGTCATGGGCCTTTAGCTGCCCTTAGGTGTGCTGATTCTGTATATATGGTGTTCACCTCTGTTAGGAAGAGAATTTAAAATATGTATTTTATGGGTAAAAAGAGAATGTAAGCGATGTGCAAGGAGTACTTACAGGTTTTACAGTTCCCCCTAGTTTGATGGACCTTCTGATCCAGGTTCATAATAGCAAATTTAGAGTAACTGAAAACATTCTAAATAATTTCAGAAAATGACTGCTCTGGTGAAAAAAAATTGTACTATTCTAATATAAATTTTTAATTAAAAATATTATTTTGATTCTTAATGGGTGATAAATGCTTTAGATGGAACTATGGTCAAAACTTCAGCAAAAGCGGAGAGAGGCTTAAGTCTGAAAACAGTAAAGACATCAGGGGACTTATAGCCAAGGAGATGGCTGGCTGTAATGGAGTAAGGACTACGAAGAGACACAAGAGTAGGAGAATTTTTGCTAAACGGACCTAATAGGACTCTTGCTAAACAATCAGCCCAAGTAGTCAGATAGCATGCCTGAGAAATGAGGAAGCCTTTTAGATTTTGAGAGTGATCAGATGTCAGAGGACGGACGATTCTCACTAGAGTCCCACTGACTTGGCAGGATTTTGATGAACTGAGCCTACATGGGTGGACACTGAAACTCAGGATCAAAGCTGAGTTGACAAGAAGGTCTGGAGAGGCCTGAGCAGAGATTGCTCAAGGAGAGAATCTTTGTTGGCTTCTGTGACTGAGACAGGGGAAGAACCTGTTGGCATAGAGTCTGTATTGTTCTAGGCACTATAGAATATTCGTCACTCTCTGTACTTCATCAGAATTGAACTCATCTAAATTTATTCTTTTGAATTTCAGCTTCAAAAAAAATATTCGGAGAGGCAGTTTGCAGATAACCAGAGGCAGTGAGGGGCTGAGCCATGACAGTGTCTTAGGTAGAACTCTTCAGTGGGATACAAGGTGTCCTGTGGGAACAGCAGAGGCTCCAATATGCACATAGAATTGACTCAAGGATGGAGAAGAGGACTTGGGGAGAGAGGTGCAGCAGAGATCAAACCATTGCAGACCTTAGAAGCCACTGGGAGATCTGCGGCTCTAAGTTCACACGAGGCAGAAGCAACAGGAGCATTCTGAATAGAGGCGAGGTCTAGCACGCATTTTAAGGACCTGAATTGGATACTTTGAGGAAGTAGATTGTTGTCCAGCAAAAGTGGAAGCAGAGTGATCACTGAGGAGGTTTCTGCAGTAGCCCTGTGGAGGTGTGGTGATGGTCTAACGGTCTGATTCAAGATGGTAGCTGTGAAAATTGCTAAGTTAAGTCAGTGGTCTCACGCTTGCATACATTTTGAAATCAAAGGTGAAGGCTTTGTAAATGCATAGGCTTAATTAGCTGGAAGAGTGAGATAACTTCTTTTGTTTGTTTTAGTTTTGATTTGCTTTGTTTTGATAAGAGGGAGAAGATTGCAACAAAACTAGATTATTTGGGGGAGAGCAGCATTTTGTTTTTTCACATTTTTTCTCACATGGCTTGTTATACTTTTGGAATGGTCAAAAGAAGGAGGATAGTGTTTTGAACCTCTGGATCTGATCACCTAGGAAGGGAATGATTGAGAGACCGAGATCAGGATGATCCCTTGTTTACTCTAGGTTGTTCTACTGTCTCCACTAGTGATTCGAGATTTGCTTAGAAACTTTAGTTTAGGATGCTGTCACCTGTTCTTTTCATGCAACTATACAAAATTCCCTAAATTACTGACCTGTGGACTGGTCACCCACAGGTTCCTTGAGGAAAAGCTACATCACATAAATGATTCTTGAATGAAAAAATAAATAACTTTGCACTTAAGATAAAATCTAAATTATATTTGTCCCTTAGGCTACTCCACTCTGTTGACTATACCCCAACCATTCCTATCAACTGTTGGAAAGGGGTAACATTTTCTTGGCTCTCTCAACCCTTGTGGCGTTTTCTCTATGGTTTCCCTTCTTTCCCCGTTCTTTGATCTGCTGATGGGTTATAACCTATCAAGTACCAGAAGTCCTAAGTACTTCTTGAAATTTCACTCAAATCTGCCTGTTTTTGTCTCTCCTAACAGCCCAAACTTGTGAATGAAAACCACTCTTTGTGAATTTCTAAAAACCTCTATAATTACTTCTTTATTATCTCTTTTTTAATAGAATTATGAAGGCAGAAGATGGGAGGAGAGGGTGATGGGAGGTAAAAAGAATGAAGATGTGTTATGTATATGAACCAACACCCCCGCATGATGAAAGTAATCATTACGTACTGCAAACACATACTAATAAAAACAGAAATTAAAACAAAACTGAGAAAAAAAGAATCTATGAGGACAAAAGAGCTTGTTAGTTTTGTTGGTTAATATGCATGTGCCAAGCTCTCCACAACTGTAGCAGACATGTTAATTAATTTAGAAAAATTTTAGAGTAAATAAAAAGTTAAAATCCAAGTACTTCCACTATTGATTGTGCATATGAATAATGTAATCCATCTTTTTCTTTTCATACTGGGGATCGAACTCAGGACCTTGAGCTTGCAAGGCAGGTGGCAGAACCACTGAACTAAATTCCCAGTCCCTATTTATTATTTTTGATTGATAAATGCCTTAGCATCTTTTCTCTTGCAACTGAGTTTATAGAACAAGTATTATTCTCCCAATTATGTAGCAGCACCTAATTTTTCTGAGTATGTAAACACTTTTCTTTTTTGCAGAAAAAATGTACTTTCCAGATCTGTCTCGTGTTCCGTCTCTCATCCTCACTATCCTACCATGTGATACACAAAAGCAAATCCAAATATATCTGTGCTTCTGAGAAAGCGTAACAGAAGGGGTAACTATGTTTCAAACAAACTTTTATCAAAAACAGAAGTCAGAGAAAATTTAGTGCTTATTTGAAATCACTCATTTATGTAGAAAATATATGGGGTTGAGAGACCTTTTGAAATCCTTTAAACAGTTATTTTATCTTATAAATTTTTCTTTGTTGAGATACAAAGTTCAGCATAAATACATCATAAAAATTATCTAGAGATCTTCAAACCAGTCCTGACTTGGCACACATTATTTTATAGTAACCAAATTTTAATGATTTTTTTTATTATTTAAAAATAGATATGTATAAATTTATAAAGCTAAGAACAACTTTATACAAAAAAACTATAGCTAGTGAAACCTAGGAAATACTATTTCTCTTTTATAACTATTAAAGTATATAAAGTTAAATATTCTTAAATTGTCATTTCAGTAAATTATCAGAGCTTATAAATAAGGTGACGCTGTCAACTAAATCAATTTAAATATACTTTATCTCCCCTCTGCAATTGCTAAAGTCTTCTATTTGTGTGGAAGCATTACAGTAATTAGAATTAATCATGCAATTAGAAGTAATTGACAGAGCAAGAAGAAGGGATTAGACCCCTTATTCCTCTAAGATTTCCTCTGAAGACCTCTTTATGGAGAAATGACAATATGAAAGTCTCTGATCTATTGCTTTATATTGCTTCTTATAATAATAAATACTAAATTTCATTTTGAGAAGCTATATAAAATTTCTTCCATTATAGGAAGAACTATTTTATAACTGTGAGCTTCTAAATAACTAGTAGTATAAGCTGAAAGTCATAATGTTGCATGGACTTGGTTACTTTCACTGTCAAGGAGTTTTTTAAAAACTTGATGAATAAAACATATTAAATACAGGATAAATATATTAACTATTCTAAATTGTGAGTTTGCTTACACTAGAATAGATATACATGTAAATTATAATGCTCATTTAATCTTCTGTCTACAAATAATCACCGTAAAGCTTCTGAAAATAGGAAAATGAAAAAATTTTCATAATGCAGTAACATTTAAAAGAGGTGAACATTCACATTCTATTTAGCTCACAGTATAAAATAAAAATAATATAATGTTTATTGGTAAAATGTATTTGTCTTCCAACAAACATTTACTTCATTGATTCATGTTTTAAATATGGGGCAATGAAATTTCAATATAAATATTAAAAGAGCTATCCAGATGAAACATACACAGAAGAAAATACATTCAAATATTTTCTACTAATAGAAAACGTTTTGTTGAGTTTCATCATTTTCTTTCAAATTTTCCTCCTCAGACTAAATTTTTAAAAGGGTTCAGAGAATTGTGTCGAATAAAAGTCTGCTTTCTTAAGTGTTTGTAAAGCTTTCAGAATCATAATTTATCTTAATATGTACATTGATCATATTACTGGCAGCAAATGAAATGCATCAATCTGTAGATGCGATTGTTATATCAGAAGAATTTCCTCAGACAAGTTGCTTTGCAAAATCCAGCAATTATACTAACTACCGTGTATATTAACAATATTCAGGAATACTGTAAAAATCAACCACAGACTTATTTGTCTGAATTACAGGGTAGTGTATCACACATACAGATAACAAGATCTTTTTGGTGTGTACCTTATTGAGATCTTCACTACTTATTTTTTATATGCATCTACTACACTGTAAAAATTATCTCTTTTTTTTTTTAAATTAATCTATTTCCCCAGGTGAATCTCTTGGCTTTTGGAGTTATAATATACAAAGTTTTCCGTCACACTGCTGGGCTGAAACCAGAAGTTAGTTGCTATGAGAACATAAGGTACGTGTTTCTTGAAGTGTACACTGACTTTAGTAATTAAAAGCTTTAGAACCTTACAGTACCAATAAGTTTTGAAATTACTGTTTTTACAATGGTTGGTTCAGACTTTCTTCCACCAGGTTTAAAATACATAATGGAAAAAAACATTTAATATGTTTAATAAAACAGTGAACACCACAGATTAAGTGGTAAGTGAAGCAGTCTTTTCAAATGTACTTCCCTTTGAAAGAAAAGATGATTACTGTATTTTAACACAAAAGTAGGTCTTAGGATTGTCATTTCTAAAACATTTCTCAGAGCTTAGTAAATATTTCTTTCTTGTACTGCTCTGTTTGACTGTTGCTATGATTTTTCCTTTAACCCTCTCTCTTTAAAACTGATTTATGGAGACCTTCAAAATGGTTTGTTCAGGAAAAGCTGAAGTATACTATAGGGAACGTGGGAAACAACGGATGATTTGTGTTGCTGGGGACCACTCCCGTAGTCTCAATACCTTGCACAAGATTTATAGTGGAGATTTAGCAAATGCTTGATCGATTACTTTTTTTTAAAATACAAACCATTCATCGTTTCATGTAGTTTGCTGGTTTTAATAAAGATGAAATTGACTCATTTTCTGAAGCACACTGCTAAAACATCTTCTCCAGTAGAGCATGATTGGACTAAAAATGAAGGCGAGAATAATCACTAGATGCTTCATTTTCAACGCTGTGTCCTCAGTGAACAGGACTGGATATTGTCTTGCCGAAATCACTGGCAAACAGCTGAAAATATGTATGAGTTTTTTTTTTTCTTTAATTTTTAAGAAACACAATTTTATCTTGAGGAGACTGCGCCACCAAAGTAAATATATTTATGTATTTCTAGTTTTATATCCTTCACTTTCTTCGCTGTGAAGCCTGGGAGGAATGCAGACACCTCCTTTGATGTCAGGAACATGTGCTGACCCAAGTCCACATGGTACAATTTTCAGGGTTTCTTAGGGAAAATACTTTCTAGTAGAGAGTCACATGTCTTACCTTCAGGAATTACTGCCACACTGGATTTGAAACCAGAGCATACACATTGCAGTATACCAGATAAAAATGTCTTAAAATAAAACAATTTTTTTAAATGCCACATTTTAATAAAGGAACCTTCCTCTCAGGAAGCCTGTCTGCCACACTACAATACCGTGGCCTAAAGGCTGTCCCATCTGACTGCAGTGCATCTGTCCAACTCAGTCATTAATGGTTGCTGGGACAGATTTCTTGCTGATGTGAACGTCCATTTCTACCTAGTTTGAGGGGCTTGGGGGATCTCTGGAGTACCAAGGCTGTCTGAACTGCAGCATTCCCAATGTATGGCAGGTCATGTGCGAGGGGAGCCCTTGCTCTCCTGTTCCTCCTTGGCACAACCTGGATCTTCGGTGTCCTCCACGTGGTGCATGCCTCGGCGGTGACAGCTTACCTCTTCACAGTCAGCAACGCCTTCCAGGGGATGTTCATCTTCTTATTCCTGTGTGTTTTATCCAGAAAGGTAAGCAATATCTCATTTTGACCAACACTATGGCACAATCATGCAACGTTGGTTTCCAATTTGACAGAAAATTCTTACTCCCGTAGATACACGACTTTTGCCTTCATTGCTTGGGTGTAGTGCATTTAAGTATTTAAGCTGTTCATTGGGAAATAGGCTTTTCTAAAGGAACTTGATACTAGCTACATAAATATAGCTTAGATTCACTTGAGCATGTTCTGATAAATAATCAAAAAGCAGTAATACTTTTAAAAAGTAAATGCAACAATGTATTGTGATTTGAAAATAATGTGATGTGATTGCCATGACTATGTTTAACATCTCTTTCTTTTTTTTTTTTCAAGATCCAAGAAGAGTATTATAGATTGTTCAAAAATGTCCCTTGTTGTTTTGGATGCTTGCGGTAAACATGGAGAACTGTGGATAACTGCAGCTCAAAGAAATTGAAAATCCAAGTTGTAGATGACCAGTGTATCAAAATGCCTCAATCCTGTAATCCAGCTATTAATTACTAGATAATCAAATATTTAAAATTGGTTTATTTCTGTTTCTAGTATAAGAGTTGTGTATAAGGTAAAGTTATGCACTATATAGCTATATTGTGTTTTATTACATGACATAGTTAGCTATGTCAAAAATAATATTGCAGATATTTGGAAAGTAATTGGTTTCTCAAGAGTGATATCACTATGGCCCAAGGAGAGATTTCTTTCTAGCACAAGAAATATATGAAGTCCTGAAGGAAAGCACTGGCTTGATATTTTTTTGACTCGTGTTTTCTTTGAAACTAGTCCCCTACCACCTTGATAATGAGCTTCCTTACAGAAAGCAAAACATAAAAAAAAAGAAGGGGCAGAAGGTAAAACAGTAAAAGGAAATGGCTGTTATAAGAGTGAGATGCATTTTGAATACATTTGCTTTTCTGTAGTCTAGGTGAGAGATTTTTTTAGATAAAATGAAGAATTGAATAAATACATCTGGCCCCTTCGGGAATTATTCCAAATTTCAATCTCTAAGAATACAGTTATGACCTCTATTTGCTGTATCCATTTTTTCTATTATTCTAAAATTATAACTCCATAAATGAAAACAAAAATGTTTTTAAATTAGATTGAGATATATGGTGTTTTTAAGCTTATTTTACTAATTGTAACTCAGGTGCACAATAAAAAAAACATGAATATGTCAAAATGTAATGTCATTTGTGCCTGTAAATATAAAAATATTATATATATATATAGCTGAATTCTTTTATCCTATAACATTTCACTGTAGTGAAAATTACCCAATCAAATTTGACTGTTATTTGAATGCATTGTTATTTTGAATTTCAGCAATATTGTACTTCACATTACAATATTCCCTTTTAATTTACTATTTTTAAAAGGATGTTGTAAATATGAAAGTATTTATAATGTGAATTATTATCTGTTCTTGTTCAGAGAAGCACACATTTTAAAAATGTTATTTATGAGAAAAAATTATAAAAGACTGTAGAAATTTTCACAGTGGATCTATTTTCTGAGTTTTCTACTATCTATTAAAGAGTTAAAGAGAACCCGATTAAATATATGGCTTTTATCTCTTCTCAGATTTTTCTCATGATGTAGAAATGGTGATTTTATTTCAAAAATATATAATTGCTCAACAACTACCTGTAAAAGTGTGCTAATACACTGAATGGTGTGATCTCCAATTAATTCCTCCAGCTGTTAAAATGAAATCTGTCAAATCTTATTCTCACAAATAAAACATTATCTATATGAAGCAATCTCTCTACTGCTTTGCTAAGTTGCTTTCTCAAGAATTACGACACCTCTACCAATAAGGTTTTTTTACATTTTTAGTAGGTCCATAATAATAGATTTTCATTATATTTTCTAATTTTTACATGCTGAGTGTATGACCATTTGTTATCTTTTCCATTGCAGGACAGTGTTATAGAAGTGTGACATTGGAAAACTAATCTCCTTAGTCAATGTATACAGGCTATATGTTGTAGATAGAATATTGAGTATCAAAAAATTCCATGTCCTAATCTTCAAAATTTGGAAAGATCAGATTACATGGCCAAGAGAATAAAGACTGCAGGAGGAATCAAGGTTGTTTAACTGCTGACCTTGACAGGGAGATAGGTGATCCTTGAGTGTTCATGTGGAACCATTCTAATCACACTGGTCCTTAGAAATGACTGAAGTCAGTCTCATGGTGAAGCAGCACAACAGATTTTACTACCCATTGTTCCCTTTGCCATGGAAAAAGTCCACAAACTACAGAATGCTGACAAACCTCCAGAAGCAGACAAAGGCAAGGAAATGGAAAAAGGATTCTTCCCCAGAGTCTCTAGAAGGAAGTCAGTCCTTGGATATCTTTATTTTAGCTCAAAGTTATCCATTTTGGAGTCTTAATTCTCAGAATAGTAAGGTAGAAGGAAAGACAGAGAGAGATGGGAGGGGTGGGGAGAGGGAGGAAGAGAGAAAGAGAGAGAGAGCGAAGGAGATTGTTTTAAGTCACTAACAGAACTGATACTGTGGAAATATTCGCATAATGACAATTTTAGAGATAACAAGTATTCATATCATGTGAGGAAATCTTAAATCCAGTATCACCTTCCCTTAGATGTCATTACATAAACTTTATATACTTCAGCAAGACATTTTCAACCTCCTCATACCTGTTTACTTCCCCAATTTTCCCTTTTACCTTATTCGTTTCCTCAGTCAAACCAAACTAAATTACTTGCCTTTCCTAAAACTTAACCGTAGTTTATCAATTTCTCTGTTTACAGGTCGCTCCTTGTGACAATCATTACTCTGTCCAGAATCCTTGTTCCCTAATATCTCCCTCTGCTGTGCCTTCCTGAATCTCACAAGAACTAAGCATCTGTACCTTTGTGTCACCCCTCTCTCTAGAACCTAATATTTGTCACACTGCCTTTACAATTAGCTCAAACTCAGGGCATGTGTTGTACTTTGTTTTGTGTGTCCTTAGAGGCAAGCACTTTGTCTCTTTTCCATCTTCTAAGTGGAAGATATTCACCTTCCGATCACAGCATTGATGTGAGAACAGCTCTACGTAGTCTGGCTATTGCCCCTTTGCTTCAGGTCATCCACTGCGGTGGCCTCTGAGGTAAACTTGCCATGCCACCTCACACACACGACACTGCTGGGTGGGAAGGAACAGCCCGGCAGCCTCAGGTTAATGTACATTAGCAGAAGACTAAGTCTACCCACAGGACCCTGAAGTTACGTTAGGCTTCAATTCAGATTTTCCAGAAAAGATGTGTGTTAGGGATTTGAAGAGAACTTGCCAAGCTAATAAAGTAGTGTTTCATTACTCATTTGGCTGTTATTACCCACCCCGTTCTTCATATGATAGTGAATGGAGTAAATACGAATATGTAAATTCAATCTCGTTGACCCCTGAAATATACCACAAGTTGACTAATAAGTACTAACTTACAAACTCTTCTTGCCCTCACAAGTGGGGAGAAGAAACACTGGATCTCAAATGAATCAAAGAACTCAATACTGAAGGTTGGCCTCAAATAAAGAGGTGAATGAATATCATGGAAGTAGAAGATAAATTCTCTGACTATAGAATTAACAAAACTATCTGTTGATTTATAAATGATACTATGATTGGGAAATTTTTTACATGCAATATATTAATTTTTTTAAGTATAAGATAATCTACAGCTAAATACCTCACAATCGGCATGCGGGCATAACCAACAAAACTTTCAAATTAACTTAGTGGAAACATCATTTCTTTAATCCATTTTAATTCAGTGACAGCCATTCAAAAGGAAGCGATAGGGCAGGGGATTTAGCTCAGCGGTTCAGTGGCCTGCCTTGCAAGAGCAAGGACCTGAGTTCAATCCCTGGTACCGAAAAGAAAAAAAAAAGGAAGCGATAACTGCTTTTCTCAAACGTCTGCATATTCTGTCAGACTTACTGTACCCATCTTAGATGGCCTTACTGAACATTTTTGTGTGTCAACATTCTTGTGTAATTTTCTCAACATGAAACCATTGAGGAAAGCAAGGATTATAGACCAGTACAGATGCTCCAGAAAGGGCATCTCAGGTTTTCTACTACCTGGAATGTCTTCTCACATGCAAACTTTACCTGTTATTCAAGGTTCCTCTCTAGGACACATCTCCCATCAAATTGATTCTTACTAATGCCCCCATTCACTACAACCATAGCACTTAAAACAGAGTACAGACAATAACATGCTTCTTATTGCTCAGTGTGAAGTCCTCATTTGGTGTTTATGCTTAAAACCGCTAAGATTTAGATGACAAATATTAGAGAAATAGCTTATTGATGGATTTACACAAAAAGATTTCTTCCTTGAATTTGATTTAGATATCTATTGCAAAATTTTACTGTGTCATTTAATTTTCATCATCACACAGCCAATGCTAACCTGATTCTTTAATGTGAGAAATGCCTAATATCACAGTGTTATCATTTAGATAAACAATGTGTTTGGTTCGGATCATGAGCTTCAACACAGCCCAATGCAGCAGGTGTACAGGTGGAGCTTTGAGAAGGTGACTGGATGATGAGGACTCTGATCTCATCCATGGACTGATCCATTCATGTTTTCATAATTTAATGGACTCCTGGGAGGTGGTGGAAAGTTGACAATGTGAGACCTAGCGAAGAAGTAGGTCCTCAGGGACACTCCCTTGAAGGAACCCTCATCCCTTCTCCATCTCTTTGCCTCCTAGCCACCATGTGCTGAGCAGATTTGTTCCATAACAAGCAGCCTTCTGACATGTTCTGCTTCACCGTGGGCCCTGAAATAATAGACTCAGGTGACCATGGACTGAACCTCTGAAACTAGCAGCCAAAATAAATCTTTGCCCTTTTAAGTGGATTTATCTCAGGCATTTTGTCATAGCCACAGAAAGTTGACATATAGCTAAGAAATTTCAGAGTTAATGTTAAACCCAGAACCCCAGGGATGGGGATTTAGCTCAGTGGTTCTGCCACCTGGCTTGCAAGTACAAGGTCCCAAGTTCAATCCCTGGTACAAAAAAAAAAAATAGTAAGCTCTGCTCTAGCCCTTTTCTTCCTATTTCACACTATTAATAATCCCATTAGGATCTTGTGTACTATTATAGTTTTTCACACCAGAGAGACTATTTGATATTTATACATGTGTGACTTATTAATTTCACTTAAGAGTATATCCTCAATATGTATCCATTTTCCTATGAATGACTCTAATTTCTCATTCTTTATGGCTGAGTAGTATTCCATTTTATAGAAAAACCACATCTTCTTTATCCGGTTTCCAATAGATGGGCAAATGGAATGTTTCCAAGTTTTAGCTATTACAAACTGTGCCGCTATAAACAATGGTGCACATATATCACTGTGGTATGTTTCTTTTAATCCCTCTGCTGGGTATCTTTCCAAAAATATAATTATGTTCTATAGGGAGTAGAAGAAATATGACACATTTTTTGTCATTGAATTTTCAATGATCGTGCAATTTACAATAAATACATACCATATGTTTTAGGTGAAGTGACTGTCTTTCTATCTAGGTTCACTGCCCCTTCTCCATTTATTTCTATCCCCCACCCTACTCAGACACTGAAGCAGTAAATTTATTTCAACAAACTGCTACATATTCTTCCTATTTTCCTTCCTGTTTATATCATCATATGAAATGATTAACATTAGACCTTATTATAATAACATGCTGTTGGGCCTGGGATTTAACTCAGTGGTGCCACCGCCTGCCTCAAAGGCACAAGGTCCTGAGTTCAATCCCCAGTACCAAAAGAACAACAACAATAACAATAACAATAACAATAACAACAACATACTGTTAGCTACTTTTTTCACTTGAGAGCTGATTTGTTAATTTTAGTGGTTGAATCATATTCTACACTGAGGATGAACCATAAATCATATAATCAGGATCAATACAATAATGCAGTGGGAGGCTTCAATACTTTTCAGAAATAACATTGTCCAGGCTGTACTGCTTGCTTTTGTTGTTGAAAATGCAATATGCTCGAGGGATGTTTTTATTTTATGATGGATTTGGATGTATGTTAACAAGTTTCAGTAGACCTGCTAAGGCCCAGGGATTTAGCTCAGTGGCACCACACCTGCCTTGCAAGCATAAGGTCCTGAGTTTGATCCCTGGGACTGAGAAAAAAAAAAAAAAAAAAGAACTGCTAAGATATGAGTAACTATCCTTCAGAGGCTCATGTGTTAAAGGGCTCATCCCAGCCCATGATGACATTGAGAGTGGAGCCTTTGAGAGGTGGAGCCCAGAGCAAGGAGCCTGGGTGTGTCCTTAAAGGGAATTGTGGACCTTCTCTTCCCCTCACCCCATCCTTTCTTTTTGCTTTCAGTGATCATATGCTGAGCAGGTTACTCCATGACAGGCTCCCTTTTATCTTTAAAGATGCTCTGTTTCAAAACGGGGCCCAAGTGACAACACCAATGGATGGAACCTCTGAAACTGTGAGCCAAAGTAAACCTTTCCTCATTTTAAATAGATTGTCTCAGGTATTTTGTTATGGCACCAGCAAGTTAACACAATAACTCTTTTGCTCATGTAAGAGTTGCAAATTATTCTTACAAGTGTTCAGGGAAAACCATACCATAGATTTGAGATCCACAAGGTTTCTTGAGCATTTTCATTCAAGTGAAAAGGATTTGAATTATTTACCTTAGATTGTTGGCTTGAGGAGGCATTAAGATCAGTGGGCAATCTGAAAGTACAGA